TTTTCTTATCTTTCTCCATTTGCGTTAAGGCTTAGTGCCACGTTGTTTTTTTCCAATGTGAATAAGGGCGAGCATCTACTCTTGCGCGTGCGGTCGCTCACAGATGTACACAGGGAGGGGTGTGTGTGTGTGTGTGGAGAGAGAGAGAGAGAGAGAGAGAGAGAGAGAGAGAGCTGACTCAGTGTGGTGGGACTGGGGAGGAAGAGAGTGAAATATGGAAAGAAATATCGATAGCCTGAAATACGTGGCGCAGGGCAGTTGATCATAACGCCGTTCCAAAGAGAAAAGACCGAGGGAGAATGTTGAGGACGCAGAAGATGTACGTTTTGTGGTGGAGGAGACGGACAAAGTGCGAGGAAGGAAGAGAGAGAGGAGGAAGTGTGTTAGGTGAAATGCGTTTTTTCTCTCCTGTTTTCCCTCTCTCCTTCTTGCACGTGTGCAACCATGTTAAGATCTTAAAAGAAATGGAGCGACCTTGATAACAAATGGAGCGTTTACGCCCACCGGATAAAGAAAAAGCAGCACTTCTTAGGTCGGGCGTTACGAAGGAAAGGCGGCCGGTCCAGGGAGGAAGGGGGAGGGAGGGATTAGGATGGAGGGAGGAATGGAAGGGGGAGCTGAGGTGGTGATCTGGCTGAGGAAGGAAGGGGAGCAAGGAGATCGGGGGAAGGAGGTCTGACAGAGATAAGGCGAACGAAGGGGTTGAGGGGGGGTGAAGAGAAGGTGGGTAGGAGGCCAGTAAGCAGGGGAGAGGCGGCAGAGAGTAGAGCGGAAGCAGGAGGTCAGGAGGGAGGGAGTATGACGGAGGGAGGAATGGAAGGGGGAGGTGAGGTGGTGATCTGGCTGAGGAAGGAAGGGGAGCAAGGAGATCGGGGGAAGGAGGTCTGACAGAGATAAGGCGAACAAAGGGGGCGAACGAAGGGGCTGAGGGGGGGTGAAGAGAAGGTGGGTAGGAGGCCAGTAGGCAGGGGAGAGGCGGCAGAGAGTAGGGCGGAAGCAGGAGGTCAGGTGGAGATTGGGCCAAGGAAGGAAGGGGAGGAAGGAGATCGGGGGAAGGAGGTCAGTGCAAATCGGGCGGAGAGTACGGAGGAGATAGAGGGAAGGAGGTCAGGCGGAGATTGGGCGAAGGAAGGGGAGTGAGGTGGCCAGGCGAAGGGAGGGCAGAGGAAAGTTTTAAGAGAAGGTCCAGAGGAGGCCGGGAGAAAAGGGAGGTGGCAGAGAGAAGTAGGGCGGAGGAAGGACAGAAAGCAGAAGGTAGTTTAGAGGTTGAGTGACGTATGAAGGAAGGGAAACGAGCATGGGAAGAAGCGTGAAGAGGAAGAGGAGGAGGTGGAAGGAGGCCGGGAGGAAGGGGAAAGACGGCAGGGTGAAGTCGGGCGGGGGAGGGAAGAGGTTGGGTGGGGTACGGAGCAAGGGAAGAGCGCGCGCGCGCGCGCGCGCGAGAGAGAGAGAGAGAGAGAGAGAGAGAGAGAGAGAGAGAGAGAGAGAGAGAGAGAGAGAGAGAGAGA